TCTCTCTCTCTCTCTCTCTCTCTCTCTCTCTCTCTCTCTCTCTCTCTCTCTCTCTCTCTCTCTCTCGCGCGCGCGCGCGCGCGCGCGCGCGTGTGAAACAATTTAAATTTTAAACATTATTAAAAATTTCAACAAACAAGACCCCACCAACAAGAGCCTACCACTTTGTGACCAAACCGGACCCGACTGAGTATGTTACATGCCCAGTTGGGCGATGTACATGACAATGAGAAGCTAGAACTAGTGGAAAAGCACATGCACATAGAAGAGAGATCAACCGGAACATCACACCAAGCAAGAACATGACAATGAGAGGCTAGAACTAATGGAAAGCACATGCACATAGAGAAGAGATCAACCGGAACATCACACCAAGCACGAACATGACAATGAGAAGCTACAACTAGTGGAAAGCACATGCACATAGAGAAGAGATCAACTAAGTAAGATCCGGAACATCACATCAAGCATGAACCTGACAATGAGAAACTACAACTAGTGGAAAACACATGCACATAGAGAAGAGATCAACTAAGTAAGATTCAGAGCATCACATCAAGCATGAACATGACAATGAGAAACTACCACTAGTGGAAAACACATGCACAAATAGAAGAGATCAACTAAGTAAGATCCGGAACATCACATCAAGCATGAACATGACAATAAGAAGCTATAACTAGTGGAAAGGCACATGTACGTAGAGAAGAGATCATCTAAGTAAGATCCGGAACATCACAACATACATGGACATGACAATGAAAGGGTGAAACTAATGGAAAAGCACATGCACATGGGGAAGAGTTCAACTAAGTAACATCCGGAACATCACAACACACGTGGACATGACAATGAGAAACTAGAACTAGTGGAAAAGCACATGCACATAGAGGAGAGATCAACTAAGTAATAACCGGACCATCACCTATTCTCATGTGAGCGAAAGTGTTACATGCTGAAAGCCTACACACGGGCCCCTCACGGCACCCGAGGTTGGAATAGGGCCCCCAGGTCGCGATGGGGACACTCGCTTTCTCTCCGACTTTTGGGTCGCCCTCATCAATCGATGGGGCTCATCTTTGAAGCCGAGTTCGGCTCGCCACCCGCAAACCGATGGTCAAACGGAAAGGGCGCATCAGACCGCTCAAGTCCTTCTCCGCACTCTCATCCGTCCCGACCAGGTTGATTGGGTTGAACGCTTGCCAGACGTTGAGTTGGCTTACAACTCATCGATCCACCCGGCTATCGGGATGTTGCCGTTC